CGACCAAAGTACGTAGGAAGAACTACGGTGCTCCTGCAAAAATTTGAGATAGAAAGCAGGTGATTAAAATTGATCGACGGCAGTTGAGATAGTGGAGAAGACGGAGAGTCGAAAGCAGAACTATATATTTATTCAAAACCCGAGGTAAAGTTCAAAGTACAGAGATTATGGTTAAAAAAAATAGTGTACAATATGTTCATTATTTACATAGTAGTAAACTTTGGATAAGTTTATTTTTGAGGACTCCACATATGTAACTTAGAAATTATTCCACAGTCTCAATTAATCCCTAGTGAATCGAGTTTTATGAATCCTACAGAAATTACGCTCACATTTCGGAAACTATGGCGATCAAATATATACACACATTGTCCCTCGGAGACTTTCAGAAACACTTTGTATTAACTAACTCGAAAACCAGAACACTGATTGGCGACTCAAGAATCCTTTATTCCTACGCCAATATGTAACCAACCATAAGGTTGTTACACAGGATTTCTAATAGTTTTTTATCTTCCTGTGAACAGCGAACGATGAGGCGATGAGTGCCGGATTGATGACACCCACGAAAACTGTGGAGGAGTTGGGTTTGAGCAGACAACCATGAATTGATCGTTCAATCTTCAACTACATTGACACTAATCATTGCGACCAATATGCTAAGATTTTGTTGCTTTCAGATCACAGGTTTTGGACACCAACGTACCTAGCCAGGAAATGGGAATTGCTATCAATCCAGAAGACATACTGCACAATTTTATTAAAACTTACAGACAAATCAACTTACCAAGCGAAATTTCAACCAACATGTAGGATAAGTCCAGCCTATATCAACGATTAAAATTTAGACTTAAACCAATATCTTATAATTTATTCAATTAAAAGTAAACATAAAAGCGCTTCTTATAAAGTTTCCAGAATTTTTTCATTTTTCAATATTTACGTCATAAAACAGTGTTCAATCTAATATTGTACTCGTCTAATATAATCGTGCCTGTACAAACCGTATGTCATTCATGTAAATGCTTAATTTATGTGAATAAAAATATTATCATTAGTCCAGACTCATTAAGATTTAGTTGTCAGTGTATGTCACAACTTAGAAATTACAGCACACTGTCACACGATGGCTGTACGTAGTTTCAGATTCTTATGGGCAATTCACAGAATCACCAGAGATATGTTCACCTCGTGATGTACATCTCTGGCGAGGTCAAGACTGCATACAGGCAGCCAGTCTTCGCCTTAAAGGGGACCCACATATTCTAGGAAGGGTTCAAGGAAGGCAACACATAAGACTCTCTGCACGACTAACTTATCATGCAAAGGAAGATTAGACGGTTTAGATTTCTTCCTCCTATCACACCGCAGGCAGATAGGAGATTTAATCACAATGTTTAAAATTTTAAATAATGACTACTTACCTCAATTTTTGTCTCTTTTCCTTCCCACCAGGTCGGAACACCTTAGAGGACATAGCAGGAGATTTCAAAAGAAGGAATCATTTTACTGTTGAGTACTGGTTCTTACACCGAGTCACAGACTACTGGAACCGACTCCCTGAATAAATGATGTCTGCAGCCTCAACTGTTTCTTTCAAGAAGAATTTAGAGTTACAGAAATTTACTAAAAAAGGATTCACATAGGTTCCAAGCCCTCTATCCTCAATCAGTAAATCTGAATCTGAGGGATTTTAAGGTGAAACAGGCGATCCATCCTTAACAAAGTCAAGGGACGTCCGTCCTTCCACTGTATTTAAGGGAGCTGTAGCCGATGAGTGGACAGGTCTAATGAACAGAAGGGCATTAAAAATTCAAACGCACACAATGACATGGGAAATGGACGCAACGAAATCATGAAGGAAGGGGTGGAGTCACCATATACGTCGACAAACAGCTCAGATGTGTTCACGCGATGGACCCACCCCTCACAGAGCTCCCTGACTCCATATGGTGCCACTTCACCGTTGGGTACTGCAAATATCTAGTGGGCAGCATTTATCGATCACCTTCATGTGGAGCAGACCACAACCAGGTACTGCTAAATACAATCTCAGCAACTCAAGACATGGGTTATGATCAAATTGTCATAGCTGGTGACTTCAATGCCCCATCTCTTAACTTGGTGTCGGGAAAAGCCCATGATAGATTTGATCGAAATCTGCTGCATACCATCAGGAAGGCTGGATTCACTGAAAATGTCAAGATGGATACTAGATGGGGCCCTGATGGGAAGTCTTCTAGACTGGATTACGTGCTCACTAGTGACCAGCTACTAGTGGAAAATGTTCAGATCACGACTCCCATAGGTAGTAGTGACCACGCGGTCATAGTATTCGACATAGTCCTCCGCGAGCGCTTACAGTGGGACAATACACAGCCCTATCTGTGTTATAACAAAGCCAACTACACCAAAATGCGAAGACTTCTGTCTGAAGCAAATTGGCCTAAAAAATGGACAGAGCTAACAGTAGAAGAACACTGGAGAGTGGTAAAGGAGATCATTCACCAGGCGGTCTCAGACACTGTTCCTTTAGTCACACCAAAAGCTAGGAAGCAACGATCATGGCTATAAGGGGGACACAACGCCTTCTGCAGGCGAAGCGAAAAGCCTGGTTTGCGTGGCGACGATCGAAGAGTCAACCCGAACATGAAGTGTACCTTGAACTCAGGAATCGATGTAACATACGAGTCCGGAGCGATAGAAGGACATTTCAGGGAGACCTCGCCAATAAGCTTCTCGTGAACCCCAAAAGCCTATACAGGTTTATGTCCGAAAGAAAACCGACCAACCAGGGAGCATGCAATCTAGTGGGTTCTGATGGGAAATCTCTTACTAGTCTTGAAATGGCAGAGACATTCAGCCTAGCCTTTCACAGGCAACTAAACAGTAACGAGGATATTATCCCCACAGAACATCCAGATTACATCGCAAAACCAACACGCGAAAACCTGCTGGGTACATTTCAAATTACCCCGGCTATGGTACTTGCAAAATTGGGAAGGTTGGCTTCGGGAAAGTCTTCAGGTTGTGATGACATCAGACCATCTGTCCTGAAGCAGTGTTCAGAAAGTCTCTGCCAACCCCTAAGTGATCTGTTCCAACACTCCCTTGATGTAGGGAAACTTCCATGTGAATGGAAACGAGCAATCCTATCCCCTATCTTCAAGGGTGGTGACCGGCAGAATGCGACCAGTTACAGACCAGTTGCTCTACTTCCAGTGATATCGAAGATATTGGAAAGTCTCATTGACGACCACATGAGAAAATACTTCGATGGGACTAACCTTCTTCACGAAGCACAGCACGGTTTCAGGAGGGGAAGATCCTGCGTGACGAATCTTCTACTAGCTTGGAACGATTGGACACTATCCTGGGACAAAAAGGTACCAGCCCACGTGATCTTTCTCGACTTTGCGAAAGCATTCGACACAGTTCACCATGGTCTGCTCCTTCACAAAATAAGCAAGGCGGGTGTTTCTGGAGCACTTCTCGCATGGCTGAAAGATTACTTAGGCGAGAGAGAATTCTGCACCAAAGTCAACCGCATCCGATCATCCTGGCACACCTCGGCATCAGGGGTTCCTCAGGGTTCTATCCTAGGGCCGTTGATGTTTTTGATTTTTATCAACGACCTGCCCTCCCAACTAAACTGCTCTGCGCTTCTTTACGCTGACGACGTAAAGATTTGGAGAGCAATAAACTCATCGGAAGACTCAGACAGATTGCAGGCTGACCTGCAAACTCTGGGAAACTGGGCTCTGGCTAACGGAATGCCTTTCAACCTAAAGAAGTGCAAAGTAGTGCAACTTCATTCCGGCAGGTCACAGAGTGTAAATTACACCCTTGGTGGCCAGAACTTGAGTTGTGTTCCATCAGAGCGAGATCTAGGTCTTATTCTAACAGAAAAGCTAGACACCAGTGGAAATTACTCGAGGGACGTCGCCAAAGCCTACGCAACATTACACTTTATGCACAGGCAGCTGGGAGCTCTCACTCCCGAACTGTTCTTAAGGTTATATAAGGCATATGTGAGGCCACACCTTGAGGTGCATAATATCATTGCACCTCCGCTACTCAAAAGGGATGCTAACATTCTAGAAAGTGTCCAGAGACGAGCGACAAAATGGGTGATCGGCCTCCGCAACAAATCATATGAGGAAAGACTAAAGAAATTAGGTCTTTTCACACTTAGTTACCGAAGGCACAGGGGAGACCTCATCACCGTCTACCAGATCCTAAATGACCAGGCCCACCCAAATAAAAGCATCCTGCCATTAAGTGATTATAGGCTTCCACGAGGTAACCCGCTAAGGATAGCACACCAGAGACCAAAGACTCGAGTGCGATCACATTTCTTTTCGCTTCGTGTTTGCCGTCTCTGGAACGCTTTACCGGCGGCCGTGACTACAGCGCCATCTCTGGAGATTTTTAAGCGGAAGCTAGACAATCATGCAGAAATGCAAGGTTTGTGTCTCAATGGCTTATCCTCATAAAACTTGAAACCACACTGTCAATGGATAAGCGTACAAACTAAATCCCCACGACCTATTCTGCCTTCTCTCACTCTATCTTTTCCTTAGGTCACCTTTATTATTCCACTTATCTCAACCTATATTATCTACACTACAACCCATTATTTTTATTCTTATTATTATTACTACTATTCTGCTTTTATGACTACACCGAATGACCAACGGGAGTTAGGTCAAACTCCATTCACGGCAGCAATACAGTCCTAACATACTGCATACTACAAACCACATCTCGACCAATCCCCGCACCACTCCTCCTGGAGTCTACCAGAGCTAAAGCAGTCGAGTGGCGGGACTTACTACGCAGAAGCTCACCGAAGATCTGGAACCTCTACCTCACAATCAAGAAGCGAGCTCAAAGAAATCACTGGTTTATACTAGCTCGTAATCAGGATATTGGATATTGGATGATATTGAAGACTGAATGTTGTGACTGAATTGGTTGAACTTTTGCGCTACAGATAGATGTTCCATCAGGGATATCATATTTTAGCTGAACTGTGGGTTATTTATTTATTTTCTTGAAGTACTCTACATCATAGAAGCCTTCTTAAGTTCAGACATCCGTCTGGAGTGTTTATTCGCCCAAATGAAGACAATCTATTGAGTATGGATAAATTCTATTATAATTCACTTTTAGAATGGGTTGGACTAATTTCAGTTCGAAGTGGATACTACTTCGGAGGGGTGTTCAGTTTTATTCTGATACTTCCAGACGATTTTCCGTCAACAAAAGTGCCAGTACGTTAATAAATTCGTTGCCATGTCGTTTTTATGTTTATGTTATTATAATCAAATTGTAAGAAATTAGTTTTCTAAAGCAGAATGATCAGAAATATCCTCGAAAATTTTACATACATTATTATAATCTCAGGAGGTTCATTGTTCGTAGTTGGGCATTTGTAGTTGCTCGACACTGTTTCTTCCTACCAAAATGCTATGTGAAATATCAAAGTATATACATTGTATGCCACTGCATGTACAGAAAAAAAATGTGTGTAGTGTCAGATTTGTTTGCATATCTGATATGGGGTGCTTGCTCACTCATCTAAGGAATGAATGTTCCAGTAATCAATAACATTTTGACAAAGTTATGTACTGAAAATGAAGTATACTTTTTTGGGAAAATGCCACAAAAAGCAAGTAACCATTTTATCCTAATTAAGTTGCCTCAAATCCTAACAATTGATTTGTATTATAATATTTTCATTCAATTTAGTGTGCAGATATTGTCGAGGAACATCTAATCCAATATCAAAGTAACAACCCATTATTGATTTGTCTTTATATATATATATGTGTGTGTATGAGCCCTAAGATCATAAATGATGGATTGACCGAGTTCGTACTTGTGTGGTTATCACCGAAAGATTTGCTCAACTGAATTTGCACTGTGAGAGTACCATTTCAGATTCTCAAGTGTTGACTAGCCAATTTAGCCATTAATGGATTGCCGCCGTCTGTAAATATGATCAAAATCATCTGCTTTATCCCACTTGAGCTAAGAGATCTGTATCAGTTAGAGTGTCAGTCATTACATCCCACTCAGACGAGTTGGATGCTGGATGAATTGAAGTTTAGTTATTTTCAGTGGTTTTTATACTTGCTTCCACAAATAGGTCTATATAGTTCGTGGGTATTTAGTAGTACATCAATGCTCACTGTTGTTGAGAGAACTCTTAGTGAGTATACGTGTGGACGGTTTCCTGAAGTTGGTCTCTTTATTTCCATCAGTTTATATGAGACTGAAGGATTCTACTAGCTTTTATTGCATTTTGACTGTACGTTGTCAACTATCATCGCAATTCCTGCTGCACATAGAACTAGCTTCTTTCACAATGAGTGTTACTGCCATCCTCAAAGAAATATTCAGTTAACTGTTTAAATAAAGAACTTACATTTTAATATGAAAGCTGGACACACGATCTTCGATATTTGTTTCCTACTTTCATTCAGTCATGAGCTTCATGCTAATGCACGGTCGGAGTTCAAGCAGGTGTGAAATGTAATTTTACTAGTGCTATATACATATCAGCGCACCTAGTAATGAGCTATTTGTGATGTGAGTGCTGATTATATTACCTGGCATATATATTGGTCATTCACTGCTTGTACAATGAGCATGGCTGATAGTTTGTTACATTAACAAATATGTTGTGCGTAATTGTGTTCTAATTACCTAACTTACCAGTTTTCTACAATCTATTGGCTTTAAAATTTTTTTGGGGAGTGAGATATGTTTGATTATTACTATTTGAATTCATAAGGTGAAATTCTCCGTATATGTTATGGGCAAAGTTAAACTTTAAGCACCACTAACTACTAGTCAGCAAATGACTTCGAACGCACCAGTCACGTGAAGGAGGCGTTTTTGTGTATGAATTACACATATATTTATGAAAAAACATAAACACTGTAGAAAAGTATTACAGAGGATACCTCCCTCTCATATGTGATAAGAATAACTCAGTTTTAAGTTAGAGTATCAGCAGAGTATAATTCCATTTTGGCCATTATGTGCTATGATAAAGTCTCATAGTGTTATACAGTAATACATACTGAACAATAAATTGTGTTCGAAACATCATCAGTAAATATTACAATATAACAATGTGAAACTTTATTAAAATAAATTTCACTCACTATGGACTTATACTCTACTACCACACTGCACAAGTTCCATTATTTCTTATATCAACAGAATAATTTAACCGCATTCTATGCAGGTAATTATTTAGCTCTTCTAACCCTAACAATAACCCTAATCTTCTCTGAATATAACCACAACTTGAAAATATCCCTAAACTAACTGCAATCTAACTCGAACCAACCCTAATGTCGCCTTTTTTTAGGTTAACCTAACTCTAACTTATCCTTTGCTTAAAGCGCAAGTTAATCTTTCTCAAACGTAAGCTGCAACTTGCTAGATATCCCATTTAATAGCATAACACTTTGATGAGCATATTTTGGTGATGATGGTGATAACATTATTTCCCAGGTTTCATTAACTTACTCAGTTAGCGCCCCAAGGTCATTGGTGAGGTCGCACTCAATTGGTAGTTAGTGATGCTTAAATTTTAACTTGGCCCTGTTATGGATACCTCATCGCTAAGTATGTTGTGACGGAGTGTTGGTAATTTTTTGTCTATTTTCCATCTTGACTAGAATAAGCCTGCAGACAGCTGATCACTCGGAAAATATTCTTCACACTGAGTAGACACGTGGGAGTCAGATTTAAGTGTAACAACCACGATAACAAATTTATTATTCACATTAAAGAATATATATCGTTTTCACATCAACGGAAATATGAACCATAAGTAGATAATCAAATTCTGATTGACTGCATCAATCAATGACTTTACGACTAACAATGGTAGTTAGTCCGTCCTAATACCCCATTTTAATAGACTTTCAGTTAGGGGACCATTAGGTATTTTTAGATTTGAGCACTCTCTCTGTCTATGAGTGTCACTGTTAATCGGTGTCATGCAGATAACTTCGCACACAAATGTAGTTCAAATTTTCACATAAAATGACTAATCAAAAGCTTTTTTTTAAATTTTATATATTTTGGTGTTTGCCGTAAGGCTCATTCACTGAGTAGAAATCCTATCGACAACTAGTGATATGGCTCAAAATCGTTCTCAATCATGCAGATGCGTTCTCCCATAGGACTCCTATTGTTTCTCCCTCACACTTCTGTTTTATTATCTTTCTTTTGAATCTCTCCTTACTCTCTTCTCCTGCTTTGTGTGGTACATGGAGGAAGCGTGGCAACTGGAACTGCTGCACATCTGTGGTAAGTTCTACTTTGAATCCAGTCAGTTTGTCAGTCAGTCATTGATATGCTTGTTTTTAAAAACTTTCTGCTTTGACTATAACCAGTTAGCAGCAGGTTTTCTGAAAAACAGACGTATATTTTTCATTGTCACAAAATGACTACTTCTTACCTATTTATTTAATTTCCCTCCGATGCATTATTAAGTGTTTGAAATATTAGCTGTTAATATACATCAAAAAGTGTATTTTCCTCTATAATCTACTGAAATTTATTATAGAAAATATACCTACCTAAAGGATTCTATCATCCACATGTGGATTGTATTACTGGAGAAGTGAATGTTTACTCAGAATTCCCTGTATGGAATCCAAACAAATATCATATTTGGCATTTACTTCATTATTTTAAACGAATGTTAACTAGTCCAACTAGCATTATGGTTTCATCACTTGTCGACCAAACCGCTTGTATCCGTGATATGCGAGAGGTGAAGTATGCAAATACAGAAGCAGCCAATGCATTAATTCATCATCCAGAAGAATTTGATACTCAGGTGAAATGTTGTGTCAGTAAACTGTCTGTATGGTCAGGATCAGCACAAGACATTCCTACATTGAAGTGAGTAATTATAACTTTATAACTTCATAGATGATTTAATTGTCACTAATTTGGTTCATGTATTTTCGGATTGAATAAATTCGTGTAATAGCTGAGCATAGCTATTAGCACGCATAATCCTCCATTTAGGTACAACGAGGTAATGCGAAGAGGAAAGGTTAACTGGTGAGCTTGGCTCTAACAGATAGACGCTCAAAGGTGATGAAATTAACAGATTTTGATTCACTTTACGTCAATAGACTTCTGAATACAGCGGCTTAATCTCGATTTATCTTGAGATGCATTGTTGCTTTCAGCCATCATGTTACAATAGAAAATCCGTGGACACTCTAGCAATTGACCTTACACACACACACACATGAAACCTGGGCTTCTTAGCTGATATAGTCAATAGATCTCACATGAACTGGTTCAAAGTTGTTCGTAGTAAGGTGATCACATTCGTACTTCATCTTTATTGCCAACATAATATCTCAAATATTGATTTCTTTTGCATATGGTGAAAATTGATACTATTACTCATCTCTACAGATACTATGGTGATATATCTGCTCATGTGATGTGTGGAGTTAAAGACACTGGCTGTCTACTCGTAATGCACTCTTTGAGCAAAACAATTTCAAGGTGTGATAAAATATGAGGCGGGGAAATCTGTTAGTCGTTTGGTCTAACTCCTAGTGTCAGGAGTCTGTTTCACCTTTCATTTCACTGCACAATTCAATCAGAATTAGTTATTGTTCATTAGGGTATTTAGGACATATGAAGATATTTGCAGATTTAAAGGCTGAATTTTGATTTGGTTGTGTTCTGTGAGCTGGTTGATTTAGTTGCCAAGCTTTCATCGTTTTTCTAGACGTTTTCATCGAAAGCTGTAATATAGAGTGAACTTGTTGCTAATAAGTGGTTGGCGGCAATCAGAAAGGGAAGCCTTATGAATCGGTTTCGTGCTTGTTGGTATTCAACAGTTAGCAAGGCGTATCTGCTGTCTTCAAGGAATTCATGTCCCCTCTGAGATTCTAACCCGTGTCAGTCAGTGCTGCAGTCAGAGTCGTTACGACTGAGCTATTGGGGGTCGCGACTAACCTCATGTATGACTGACTGTGTTAGGTACTTTGAATGTACACTAACTAGTGTTATGCGTCTAGTCATTTATTTACTCCAAACTTGGACTTCTTTGAGATCCCCATAAGTGATATAATTGTATCTCATGATACAACCATTGTTATCATTGATTGTTTCTTAATTTACACCTCTCTCGCCCTCGCCGGCGCACACCTGATATCTATGGTCGGCCTGCGAAATTTGGGCTACCGATATCCATGCTGAAAATTCCATACTTGTACCAAAAATACAGTGTGGAATCAAGCTGTAATCAAAAATAAAAATAAAAAATAAAATTTTTATTTTCTCTGAATTTTAACTTTATTGTTATGTGGTGATTTATTTTCTGTTAGTTGGTAAATTTGATGCATACTAAGCAATGTGTTTGTTAATCACTGATCCATTTGAGTATCAAACAGACTTCTAGAAATTCCCGGACATTACTTTCGCTGTTTCCTCTCCTGTTTGAAATTTCTACATTCTCCCATTCATCAAATTAGTGTCCGTAATTGTCTGTCTGTTTTTGATATCGAACTCTGCACCGATGTGTGGCAGTTCAAGTCGCCACACTCCATGTAGCACACAAAGCAAGAGGAGAAGACAGAAGAAATGCATAATAGAGACAGTAAACAGAGGTGTGAGACAAAGGAATAGTAATAACGAAGAACAACATAGTTTCATTGGAAATAATAAGCCACATGGAGTGGATGCATCTGCGCCAGTCATTGAGAACGATTTTGAGCTATATCACCAACTGTTTCCAACCATTGGTTTTTACCGTCCCGAGTACTCCAACCACTCCAACCACCTTCCTACGTGGCTGGCTTAAACTAACTGTTGTGGATTTCATTGACTGGTGAAGCCATGTTTTGGTTTTACCGCCACTAGCTCTTTTCCAGCCTGACCCTATGTCAGATAACATTGCCCGTTGTCGAGGAAGGCAACGTAACACATATCCTAATCATCTTAGTCGATGTAATTTCACATCCTTGTCGATTGATTTCTCCTCCTTACCTAGCACTCAACTTGAGGCCTAACCTCAATATTGCTCACCTTATTGTACCACTTCCCTGTGTGCGTCGGTGGCACAGCGGTTAGGATGCTCGTCGACCATGCACATAGTTTGGGGTTCGATCCTCGACCGACTCACTCCTTTACCTCGCTAAGCCAGAAATAATGCTTATAAAGAGGAAAGGTGGGGCATGAGGCTAGCAACCCCATCCTGTAAAATAAGCACTCCTACAGAAACTTCAAGCTACTAGCTTGAAGCCTTATGTCCCACTGGGAACGTGAAGGAAAAAATAATAATTATTATTATTATACCACTTCACATGGGAGATAGAGCGCAGGCACCTATGATCAAAGACAGCTAGTATTTTCATGTCTTCCACTCTCAATGGCCAGGTCACACAGCTATAAAGGAGGACGAAGCGGACTGGTGAGCAGTACACACGCCTTTTGGTCGATAGCGGGATATCACGTCATTCAATATTGGGCAGACCAAAAAATTTAACAATAAAAGAAGATCGGTACCATTCACATAAAATGAACTGCGATAAGTACTACATCGGTCAAAGTGGGAGTCCATTTCGACTTAGAACCCAAGAACATAAATCATCAGTTGTGAAAAGATACGACATATATTCTTTCATACCGATGCGTGTAGACAATTACGAATGTTAGTTTAATGATTGGGAGAATGTAGAAATTTCAAACAACAGAGTAATGTCAAGAAATTTCTAGTACCCTAGTAGTCAGATGAGTCAACGATTAATGAATACATTACTTGGTATAGATGAAATTTACCAACTAACAAAGAATAAATCACCACATGACAAGAAATTTCAAATTCCAAGTGAATAAAAATGTGATCAATAGAGATGTAAATTAAGAAACAATGAATGGTAACAATAGTTGTCATGGGATACAATTATATCATCATTCATGGAGTATATGGTTCAGATAAGTCCGTTTCATACCGAAACTTGTGCTGTTGATGTTGTTTATAAGAGGGAATTAGATCCGCCAGCTCAGAGAGAGAGAGAGAGAGAGAAAGAGAAAAAACACAATCAAATGAGAATCACTCAACAGAGCTACGAAACTTCTTTATTCTTTCAAGGACTGTAGTTTTTATTTACATTTGCTTATGAAGCTTGTGGCGTGACTCTTGAAGCGTAGAGTTTGTTATCTATAGATGAACAGAATTCTTAAGTGATTAAAAAAATGCCCATTAGAAATTTGAAAAGACTGATTAGTTAACATGGAATATTCTTTGCAGAGGCCATCGGAGTTCACTTAAAACAACTGGAACTTTGCATGAAAAAGGAACAATCCCAGCTACAGAGTTACCCAGTCTCTCCATTTCTCTTCAACTTTGCCATCAATGACATTCTGCAGTCAGCTCTGAAGGATGCGCGTGAAGATGGTGTAGATCTGCTACCTGGAGATAGGCTTTTCGACCTCGAGTATGCAGACGATACCGTCTTACTGTGTGATAGCATGTAGGCTGCCCAAATCGCACTTAATCAGTTGGCGATCAGTGTTTGTAAGTATGATATGTGCTTTGCGCCGTCTAAGTGCAAAGTACTGTTACAAGATTGGCAGGAGACTGTACCTGCACTCACTCTTGCGGGTGAAGTTGTTGATAAGTTTGTGTACTGGGTAGTTGTGTGAGTGCTGGCGGCGGAAGGGTGACGGATGAGATTTCCAACCGTATCATGAAGGCTAGGGTGGCACACATCAACTTGAGTCACCTCTGGTGACGACGTGACGTTAGCCTGGCTGTCAAAGGTCCGGCATTCAGTGCTCCGCTGCGGGCTGTCTTGCTCTACGCCTGTGAAACCTGGTTTCTCCGAGTTGAGGATGTGCGGTGGCTCCACGTATTCGATCATCGCTGTCTCCGCAGGATTGCTTGCGTTCGATGGCATCATCGCATGAGTAATTCTGAGGTTCGGCGGCGTGTGTTTGAACACAGTGGAGATCACCATTCATTGATTGTCGTCATCTGGAAACACCGGCTCCGGTGGCTTGGACATGTGCTGAGAATGTCATCCCAGAGGAGGCTTCCGTACAGGTCTCTGTTCGCTAGCCAGCCCTGTGACGCGATGGAAAAGGCGGAAAAGTGGTCAGTCTATGACGTAGCGTCATGGCATGAAGGATGTTTGTGCTAGATTAGCATCGGTTGGTGCGTCACGACTCCCTGGTTGGAGTCCGAGAGATAGCTCGAATCAATGGCTTGAAACGTTATCGGATATGGCCAAGAATCGCAGTCATCAATGGCGAACATGTTGCAATTTTCTTCTTTCTTCCCTTCTCGATGGTAGTTAACGAAAACTATTTGGACTTGTCAAGTATGACTGTTTTCCTTCCAGATGAAGTTCTTTATCCATTCTCTACTTATATTTTTTATACTTTTGATCTATGTTGTTTTATTATTATTGTGTGGCGCATCCTTCTTGGTGCCATATTGTACCAAGTTTTTTTATGCGAATAAATAAATAAATAATAGCTACTATTGCTACTATGGCATATTGTGAAACCTATAAATTCATAAATTTTATATTCCTTGCCTTAATTTATCTGGTATTTAGTTTAGTGTTGTGTTGAGCTATCTGACTATAATTGACTGATTGCACCCTACTTAATAACAACAATTCCCTAATTGTTATGGTTGTATAACTGTAGAACCTGTTGAATAAGTTATCGAAAAGAGTGCTCTTTGTTCACCGATCAGTCTTTTAAAACATAATGTTGTCACTGAACGAACTAAGTTTCCTCCGAAGTTCGGTGCTGTTGATGGGGGCCCAATAGTGTTTATTATCATTTTTGGTGAGATTATCGGAGGTATCCGTGGTTTCTGAAATCATTATAAGTTGGAATATGTTAAAAAACTGTGTCAGATTTGAATTTGGATTTCTGATTTTCTTTGTCACTTTCGGCAGTTTGTCTTCCGTGAATACAATGACTAAGATAAATGTATCCTTCTCAAGTGAGGATTTAGTTGATTTCAAATTAGATCACGAACTTACATCTTCTGTTAGGGAACCGGAGAGTATTGAACAGATGGTCTAGTTCACGGCTGTTCAACAGCAGGCACTCACGCCCCCATTCCTCCTTAGGGATCGAATGCAGGGCGTTAAGGTTTCAAACCGAGCGCGTTGACATTCCAACTTCTACCGATTCGCGATGTATAGTATCATCGCCAACCAATACTATTTTCGAGTATCTCCCCCCATACGCCACTTGGTAGACTCCACTGACTGCAGCCTCTCAGTAGATATCCGAGTACTCCATCCTGTAGTCAGTCACAGTGGCTAAATGGTTGATAGGCTCACCTTGTAACCTGAGGTGTTTTGTTCACTCCCTGGTGGGGTTATAACTGCGTACTTCTGGAGAGTCCGAAACCAAGAAGAAACAGCTATCCAATCCTCCTTGGTTGTTAAATGGCCCTTGGGATGGTAAAAAACAATGTTGGCTGGAGACAATTGGTGATATGGCTCAAAGTGATCGTTCTCAATGGCTGGTGCAGATGCATCCACTCCTTGTGACTTAAAATATCCGATAAAGCTATATTGTTCTTCCATATTAGTATTCTTTTTGCGTCATATCCCTGTTTTGAATCTCTTTTTACTTTGTTCTCTTGCTTTGTATGCTGAGAGTGAAGTGTGGCGACTCGAACTGTTGCACATCTGTGCAGAGTTCTACGTTGAAACTAGTCAGTCAGTCAGTTAAGTGGTTTTCTAAATGATTCCAGTTTCTTGATGTCACTTAAACTGTATCAATTAACGCAGTAAATTATTTCACAATGCCATCGACGACTGCAGGTGTTTGCCTTTACATCGATCATTTCGTTTTCGCCACACTATCACTATAGTTCATCGATGTATAATATCTCTTTTCGCTGGTTAATGACTTCAATGGCGACTTGTTTGAATTATTATTATTCTTATTGTTCCCTTGGTTTCCTAGTGGAACATAGGGCTTCAACTGTACGTCTCCACTTGCCACTTCTGTCTTCCTTCTGCTGTACTTTTCACCTGCATCCATGTCAGTCCATACTCTTTCAACTCCTCTTCACACGATGTCCTCCATGTCACCCTTGCACTGACGTCCCACTCACCGCTTCCCTTTCGAGTTCCACTCGAGCGATGGCCTGACGCTCGCGCGATGTCACCCAGCGGCTTCCTCAGCGAGTGTCCGGTCTATCTCCACTTTCTCCTGCATATTTGTTAGTTGGCGATTGGTTCTTGTTTTGTTTCTTCGCAGCCATAGTTTCTTGTTGGTGATTCTTTCCGGCCCGCCCGGCCATCTGATCTTCAGTATAGAGCCAGCGAAGACAGTTGTTGGTTGATAAAGGTAGGTCTGCAACAGGCTGTTGGAAATATTCTTTGTGACCCACCCGCCCGGTAAGTTTCTGATCCGTATAGAAGAACTGACTGACTTGACGTTTGTATTGAAAATCCGACTGAATTTTGTTATTGATGCTTAGTGACGAAGATTTCCAGAATGGTTTCAGGTTGATGGATGTGGTTGTCCTCTGGTTAAACGGAATAGATTATTGTCTCTCCAGTTGATAGTTTGCACCTTCCACATCCATTCCATCTGCTCTCGCAGATTCCCAACACTTCTATTCCATATCTTCTCGTTTCTGCGGCTAACTGGGTAGCCTTTCCAGCTTCGTACATTGTACGAACATTCCACATCTCCATCCTTATTTTTGCTTTCATCGAAAGAAGGCACATTGGCTGACTGGCTTCCCGAAGGCTTTCACTAGCCTGCGTCATTTCACTTCCCCGATTCGAGCGAAAACTAAGGTTATTGCTTATATTTTTAGTATTTTTAATATCTTTATGCGTTGAAGTTTCTGTAGCAATTTGGTTAAGTTTTGGGGGTGGAGTTGCTAGCACCACGCCCTAACCCTCCCTCTTTATCCGGGCTTGGGACCGGCTAGAAAACTAGCGAGCTAGTAATCTAGGCGAGGTTTGTTTGAAGTACATGATTACTTTTACCGACTTATGCCTCATCGGGTATTTGCTTTTCTGTAGCAACTAACGAGTTAGCAATTCAAGCTCGCCCTCATTTCGTTGAATACTTCTTTCGTTAAATTTCAATACTATTCTGAATGAATTAAGTGGGAATAACTGTTAGAAAAGACGGAAAGACAGTTAATTGCCTTACTGTTGGCTTTCCTGTGTACCCAAGATGCCTACATGAGTCCACTAATGGATAATTCCTCATTACATTTTCCGAGTGAATATCAGTAAACAGTACGAGCATAGTTCAGAAATTTCCTCTTTATGCCTTATTATCTTTTCCAGCGTCTCCGGTTGGACGAATGACAACTTATTAAACGATGCACGAAATTTACTGGAGGTAAGTTTCAGCACATTTAATGTTGTTATTGCTGTCATTATTATTGTCAATTATCGCGAACATAGTTAATTCCTTGCTTAGTGTCTTATTTTTTACAGTTATACTACATCGTGATTTGTTTTATTTAGTCGTGCTTGTGCTTGTTTTCGGCTATTAGTTAACTGTACGAAATCTTATTATTATTATTGTACTTGATAATTTGTATATTGGTGCGTCGGTGGCACAGTGGTTAGGACTCTCGCCGACCATGCACATGGTCTGGGGTTCGAGCCCACGCCGACGCACACCTGATATCTATGGTCGGCCTGCGAAATTTGGGCTACCGACATCCATGCTGAAAATTCCATACTTGTACCAAAAATACGGTGTGGAATCAAGCTGTAATCAAAAAAAAATATATATAGGTGCATTAAGACATCCCCTTCCTCCAACCTTCACCCCCCGCACGAATTATCTGCTTTCTGCCAGAGTAATCGAATATTAGAAAGAAGAGAACATGAAGTTCAGCAAAGATGACGATCTTTTCGTCGATTTCATTTTCAAAAGTAGCTATACAATCGAATTTAAATGCATAATTTTACATGGATACAATTCTTGTTTGATTTCACATACACTTACGACGGCGAATAAAAGGTGATAATTATTTTCAACTAGATATGGTTTACGAAAGGCTTAGAAATTTTTTTCTTTTTTTCTCCTTTTTCTTTTTGATCGTTTTTCGTTCGCTGTGTGTGTGTGTGTGGTTCTTACTCCCTCTGTCTTCATTCGATTCACCCCATTTTTTCAGTTATAAAAACAGTTATTTTAAGTTTGTTTCCATGCTTTTCCTGTTCACATTTATAATTCGTTTCAAATAACTATTTTACAATTATATCTTAATCCTGTGCAATTTTTGTGTTTCTAAGGCTCTTGTAATCTATATATTCACACCTCTTAACTCCCATCTCAAGTTAAAAATTATTATTTCAATTTTTGTTTCCATGCTCATTTTCTATACACTAGTAATTCGTTGTTTCTTTCTTTCCTTCACGTTCCCAGTGGAACATAGGGCTTCAAGCTACAGGTTTGAAGTGTTTGTAGCAGTGTTTATTTTTACAGGATGGGGTTGCTAGCCTCATGCCCAACCTTTCCTCTTTACCAGATTTATTACTTGCTTAGCGAGGTAAAGGAGTGAGTCGGTCGGGGATCAAACCTCGGACCATGCGCTTGGTCGGCGAGCATCCTAACCACTGTGCCACCAGTAATTCGTTGTAACCCTGTATAATTTTTGTTTCTAGGGCTCTTGTAATCTATATTCGCACCTCCTAATTCCCATCTCAAATTAAAAATCATTATTTCAATTTTGTCCCCATGCTCATTTTTACACACTTGTTATCCGTTCTAATCCTGTGTAATTTTGTTTCTAAGCCTCTCGTAAAAGCCATATCTAGTTGAAAATGATTGTCACCTTTTATTCGCCGTCGTAAATATGCGGAATCAGACAAGAATTGTATTGTATCCATGTAAAATTATGCATTTAAATGCGATTGTTTAGCTACTTTTGGAAATGAAATCGCCGAAAAGATCACCATCTTTGCTGAACTTCATGTTCCCTTCTTTCTAATGTCCATATGGGTGTTTTCCATAATCCGATATTCGTTTAAGGTAGAAAGCAAAAACATTTTTCATTGTTCAAGAATGCATAGTTTTGAAGTCACATAAGTTAGAGGACATTAACGGGGGAGGGATATTAACTAAGTGAAACAGCAAATTGGGTGAAGAAATATGTTCAAATTCGATTAGTTCTTCATGAGATCATGGGATCCACACTAATACATAGTTTTTGTTTTAACATAAAAATTCACATTTAAAAGAAAATTGACATCAATCCGTGATCATACACTTGAATGAAACAGATCAAATCCCTACAAACCAAGTCGTGTAAACTAATCTGATGTTCTCCGGTGACTGACCTGACTAGACGACGAAGGTGTCTGGGGTTCTTCTAGTGAGAAGTTGTGACCACTAGGATCCACCATTCGGTCGGGTGTGCGGAAAGATACTAACCGACGACACATTGGCTGATGCCAGTTGCGCTAAAATCACGAATCGGTAGAAGTTGGAAGTGATAGGCTGGTTATTAAGTTGGGTTCCAGTGGCTGGATGGTCAACAAGCTTGACTTATAACCGGAAAGTCGTGGATTCGAACTTCAGTGAAGTGAATGCTTACCGCCAGTGAGTTTGAAACTAGAACGAGACAGTGCTGGTTTTCAGTGGTTCTATAACTCCCATCAATCTGTGATCAAAATCAAAAATTGTCCCAATCATGTAGCTATTTCACTTCATCAGAATTATCAGTTTTAGGTATACGAGGGGAGGGGTGGGGTGGTGGTGCGGTGGTGAAAATAAGAGATTAAAAGTCATCATAACGATTAACTAGTAGACGTCAGCAACAAAATGTCTAAGCGTTAAAGGAGGAGTGAAAATTTCTGAACACCTCGTCCCATCTTTATTTGACAAAAGTCAGAATAAAGCTGCTATGCTCAGTTCAATACTAGCTCATCTCGTCGATACTGGACTCATCATCAAGTTGACTCTAACACAGAGGTTTTAAAGTCATTCATCGTATTTCACCCAATCTTTCACATTCTATGCAAGTACGACTTTTACATACAGCAGAGAGGCAATCGGGATTCATGTGAACAAGCCAAATCTGTCTGTTTATAAGAGATCTGTACATTCCCTCTCTTTGCCATGACCAACTAAATAATATACATTAATTTTTTCCTTGTTTCCTGTATATATCTTTTAACTTTGTTATTTTATCATGTTTACAATTTTAGGTAATTCTAACTTTCCTGAGTCACCCTACTTGTCTTAGTCATCATTATTTTACGAATTTCTTGATTATGTAATAATCTGTTGGTAACCCTCACGAATTAACTGATCATAAATTCCTTAATTAACTAATTTTCACTTGTCCTTCCTTTAAAACTTAGATAGCTTGTTACTAACACCTATTGAAAATCAATGAGATTCTCACTAGCGACTTGCCCTATTCAGGTAGGTAGTTACCTGGGGTTCTAGTGAGAAATCGTGACCAGTAGGGTGCAGCTGGTCGAGTGTGAGGACAAATACTCGCCAGCGAAGACATTGGCTTGGGGTCGCACTATATCGTGAATTGGCAGAAGTTAGAATTCATGGGCTGGCCATTGGATAGGGTCTCAGTGACTGGTATACGAGCTCGCCTTATAACCAGTAGGTCCTGGGTTCGAATCTCAGTGGGTGCGTACTGATGAAGAGCCCCAAACTCGGACGAAACGTCTGTTGAGTACTCCCAGGTTTCCCAATGGTTCTCTAACTAATGTCAGCTCATGATGAAATCCTGTATTAGTTAATTGTTCTGATGACTTCTAACCTCTTAATTTCACCCCCCTTCCTATAACTAAAACTGATTAACTAAAATAACCACTAGATTGGTAAGACATTTTGATGTAAGAAACTATATGTGTATTCGCGTAGAGCCAAATTACGTACACACACCTTGTCTTCAGCGCACCATTTGCACAGATCTTTCGTGTTATGTTGCTTCTGACCTTCATACCGTGTTTTCTTGTGTTCCCCTTTCACATCTCGCATGCATCTCTCCGCAACGCTGTATCATTTGATTTCTCTGACATCGAATCTGTCTATCTCCCTGCTATTTGATGTTTTTATGCCGGCTGATGAACACCTCCTTACATATATATACACTGAAAAATCTTATCAGTAGTACACGTCACAATAGTGTTTCGGATTTCCAAGTTTTATTGATGAGGCAAGCTAAAATAATCGAGAAGATTTGTAGTAGCTCAGGTGAATGATTTTAATTTGGTTGTATTCCCTAAGCTGGTTGATTGAATGGCAAAGCTCTTCTAAATATCTTCAAAGTGGGCTTTAATATATAGTGAAATTATTTGAACCATTTCTCCATGAATGATGATATAATTGTATCTCATAGCACAATCATTGTTATCATTCATTGTTTCTTAATTTACATCTCTATTGATCACATTTTTATTCACTTGGAATTTGAAATTTCTTGTCATGTGATGATTTATTCCTTGTGAGTTGGTAAAATTGATCCATACTAAGTAATGTGTTTGTTAATCAATGATTCATTTGAGTACTAGACAGGCTTCTAGAAACTGCCTGACATTACTCTAGGAGTTTCCTCTCCTGTCTGAAGTTTCTACATTCTCGCAATCATTAAATCAACGTTCGTAATTGTCTACACGGATCGATATGGAAGAATACAATATGTCGTGTTTTTACACAACTGGTGATTTATGTTCTTGGAGTATGAGTCGAAGAGGACGCCCACTTTGACCGGTGTAAAGTTTATCGCAGTTCATGCACGCAATTTATTATGTGAACGGCATTGATCTTATCTTCTTTTGTTGTTGGATCTTTTGGTCTGCACAATAATGAATGAAGCAATTGTCCTGGCTTGTGTGCTATATCTGTTTCAAACGGTCTTAGTATTCTAGTCGTTGGTTGTTTCTGAGGTATTTTTGTGGTGTTTGATGATGGTTTCTTGTTGGTATTACCATTTGAGTTTAAATACATTTTGATGAAATTGTGTGGGTATTTATTCTTCTTGAAGACATTCAGGAGGTTTTTCTCTTCTGTTTTCCTCAGTATTTGAGTGCTACAGTGTGTACCGATGAAGAGTCCCAAACTAGGACGAAACAGCTGTCCAGTACTCCTTGCAGGTTTTCCAGTAGCTCTCTAACTGATGTCAGCTCATGATGAAATCTTCCATGCAATCAAACAAAATCCCTACAAAATCAATACTTGAAGTATTTTACACACTGTCTACATACAGTTTGTTTTATGAGTCATTAAATTATCGCGGTTATGATTGAGTATTTGAGCTGTTTATGTAGATTTTCTATGTAATTGTGTTTCTAAATTTTTTGTGTTCGTTCTCTTGATTAAGACGTCCAAGAATGAAGTTTCATTGTCTAATTCTTCTCTCGTGGGGAATTTCATGTCTTCCAATATGTTGTTGATTAATTTGCGAATCTGTTATCAACATAACCCACTCAGATCTCCGGTTTAATTACAGGTAGGACTATTAATTCTAATCTTTAAATAAAAGCTTTAGCTGTAAATCCTGAAATGAGCGATCCCATTGGTGTTGCCTCCACCTGTTCGTATATCTAATTATTGAATTGAAAGTATGTTGTACTGTGGTGAGAGCTGGCAGCTACCCAAAATTGTAGACAACAATTTACGTCGATGTTTACGTCCCGAACCGGGGTCTGGAGAAAAACAATAACAAAGCCTAACCTTGAGGAACTCGCTAACCAATCACAGCAGACTTAACATGTGCAGATACAATTCGCAGATATATGGCTTGACTTTCTAAATCATCACAAGCAGTACAGAATAACAACCAATCAGAGCACGTTGCTTCTCTACTGACAATGTAATGTACGTAAAAACCTATAAATAACACTTGATTTTCGGAATAAACGATCTATCGCCTGGCCCTTGTCTTCTGTTGTTACAGTTTGACAATTGTATCATCCTTCATGGAGAAATGCTTCAAATAAGTTCATTTAATACTTAAACTGCGGTCAAGATGTTATCTAGCTGGGGGACAACGAAAGCATCTCAACTAGATCAACCAGCTCAGAAAGAGAACACAACTATATCAAAATGGAGGCAAGACAAAATATATCTTGAAACTCACTGTAGTATGCCAAACCGCCGCCTATATTATTATTGATTAGTTGGTTTTTTCCCATCATCTGTGTCTCAAAATTCTTTCACATTTTCCCACTTTATACTTCCGGGTTTTTTATTTTGCATTTTCATAATACAGGTTTGGGAAAATTCTAAACACGATGAAGAAAATACTGTAATAAGTCAAGGATTTTCATGGATTGATCCGAAGAGCATGTCTATATTTTCAAATGAATCAGCTATTGTGTCGGAGACTTCATTGAACTCATGAAATAGATGATGCCGCATGTTTCTGTGTGTGTATATGTGTGGATGTGTGCTTCCATCGATAATATTTATTTCTTGACATTCTATGCATCCCCTTCCCTCAAATAACTCAGATTTCGCCGTTGTATATCCGCTTACTCCTCAACCTAGACAGTTGTTATCAGATGTCATAACACAGTAAGGACGGCAGCTCATACAATAAATAATAGCCAAGTGTACACCAACACTGGGTGCCAACAACTAATCAACATTATTCTAAGTGTTTCTGTCTTCTTGTATAAAATGTCTGTTTGTTTATTATACTGGTTCTGCCGATTGTCGAATGGGGGATATTGTAACTCCTTCTTATTATAATATCAAATTTTTGTGAGTAGTCGAAGTGATTTATGTATTGATTATTTTTACACTTGACTTGGTCTGCACGGTTTTATTTAATGATGTAGCAGAATTTTTGTATCCACACACACATATCTGTGATTCTTAAACACTTCATTAACTGATAATTGGTTAATCTTAATTGTTTAAATAGAAAAAGAAGGTGTTTATTGCCTTTCCTGTTCTGGATTATCAGCTTTCAAGCTTAGTCGGGATGTATTCACAAAACAACTGGCATTAGACATGACCCTCCGACATCTAATACTAAATAGAGAGCGCGATGCATTATTGGGATTATAACATTTTCATTATTGTTCCTCGAGGTTCCGAATGGGGGGTGGTGGCAACATAGGGCTTCACCAACACATCTCCACTCTCTCCTCTTCTCGGTGGGGTCCTCTTCGGTTGGTCCCACGATTGGCCATAACTTCTGATCTCCTCCTTGTAACCCTCGGATCCATGACGAACTCGCAGTATCCCATTCAGGTTCCGCTCGAGTGATAGTCTGGCGTGCGATGTCTTCCGACAGGCTCCTCGGCATGTGTCCTGCCCATTTCCATTTTCGCCTACATGTTCGTTGGTTGCCAGAGTTTCTTATTATTAATTCTTTCTGGCCGACTAACCATTTGATCTTCAATATGGAACCAGCTATTGATAAAAATCTTCGGTAGTCTGTTGGAAATGCTTTTCGTGACGCTCATGGCAAGTTTTTGACCCATATAGAAGAACTGACAGACATTTGTGTTGAATAGAATCCGAATCTTGTTGTTTATGCTGAGGCCGAGTGCAGAAGATTTTTAAACTGATTTCAGAGTGTGATGAAGGTTTGTCTTGCCTTTCCGATTGCGACTTTGACATCCGCATCTGTGCCGACTCATGTAAAGTGATCCACAACGGAAAACTCAGCGAGGCGTTTGGAGTAAAGTAAACACAGGAGTCAGACAAGGGTGCTTGCTTATTATCACCAATGATATTCCTAATTGTGGTGGACTGACTGGATTATGCGTCAGACAGTGAGTGGGAAACGAGAAACGGGACAGGGATATCCTGGACCGATGTGAAGAACCTAGAAGACCTGGATTTCGCGCGTGGATGATTTATGTTTGATGTCACACAAAATTGAAGACTTACAAGCGAAAACCGGCAAAATGGTCGAAGAAGCAGCCAGCGAAGACAGGATTCCAGGTGAACATAGACAAGATGGAGGTGATGAAAATAACCAGCTAATAACAACAACAACAGGAGCAGCAACATCCAGCGCCAATCATCATCAACGGGAGGGATTTGAAAGAGGCTACTTCATTCACTTATCTAGGGAGCACTGTCTCAACTACAGGCAGTCGGAACGGACGAGGATGTCAAGGCGATCGAGAATCGGGAAGGCAAGAAACACAATCATCAACCTGAAAACAATCTGGAAATCTTCGTTACTCAGCATCAACAACAAAATTCAGTCGGATTTTCAATGCAAACGTCAAGTCAGTCAGTTCTTCTATACGGATCAGAAACTTAGCGGGCGGGTGGGTCACAAAGAATATTTCCGACAGCCTGTTGCAGACCTACCTTTATCAACCAACAACTGTCTTCGCTGGCTCTATACTGAAGATCAGATGGCCGGGCCGGGCCGGAAACAATCACCAACAAGAAACTATGGGAACTAACAAAACAAGAACCAATCGCCAACCAACAAACATGCAGGAGGAAGTGGAGATGGATCGGACACTCGCTGAGGAGGCCGCTGGTTGACATCGCACGTCAAGCACTCGAGTAGAACCCGCAAGGGAAGCGGTGAGTGGGACGTCAGTGTAAGGGTGACATGGAGGACATCGTGTGAAGAGGAGTTGAAAGAGTATGGATTGACATGGATGCAGGTGAAAAGTACAGCATAAGGAAGACAGAAGTGGCAAGTGGAGACGTGCAGTTGAAGCCCTATGTTCCACTAGGAACCTGTCTGTCTATTTTCGAGATAGAACTTTGCACAGATGTGCATCAGTGAAAGTCGCCACACTCCGTGTAGCACACGAAGCCAGAGAAGAAAGTAGAAGAAATGCATAATAGGGACAGTAAACAGGGGTGTGAGACAAAGGAGGAGTAATAACGAAGAACAAAACAGTTTCATTGGAGATCATAAGTCACAAGGAGTGGATGCATCTGCACCAGCCACTGAGAACGATTTTGAGCCATGTCACCAATTGTTTCCAACCATAGATTTTTACCGTCCCGAGGACCCCAACCAGGAAGTCTACACCTTCCTACGTGGTTTAGACCAACTGTTGTGGATTTCATTGACTGGTGCCAAGTTTTTGTTTGACCGCCGCTAGCTTTTTTCCATCCTGACCCTATATCAGCTAACATTGCTCGTAGAGGGAGGCGATGACTTGGCATACGTAACACATGTCCTAACCATCTCAGTCTTTGTAACTTCACGACTTCGTCGATTGATTTCCCCTGTTTACCTAGAACTCGACGCCTAACTTCAATGTTGCTCACCTTATTATGCCACTTTACACGGGAAATAGAGCGCAGGCACCTATGACCAAAGACAGCTAGTCTTTTCATGTCTTCCACTCTGAGTGGCCAGGTCTCACAACCATAAAGGAGGACGGAGCGGACTGATGAGCAGTACACCCGCCCTTTGGTCGATAGTCAAACACCTCGTCTACGCCAGAGTCGGCGTAAACTGGCAAATGCGAAACGAGCCCCTGTATTCGTGCTGAGATTTCGTCAGAGATCAACCCGTTGGCGCTGGCTGATGGTACTTCCCAAATAAGTGAAGCGGTCAACGTGCTCTACCACTTCACTTCCTATTTCTAAACTAGGAGTCAGAGTAGTCCAGTCCTCTAACATCATCTTACATGTGGCAGGAGCGAATCGCATGCCAAACATTCGCAGATTGGAGCTCAAGGTGTTTAGAAGACTCTGCATTTCGTCAGCGTCCTCGCCTAGAAGGACTATATCGTCTGCATATTCTAAGTCAACGAGATTATTCCCTGGTAGCAAGTCAATTCCTGAGTCGCTGAAGTCACTTAGGGTTAAGTCCATCAACACATCTATGATGAAGTTGAATAGAAATGGGGATAATGGGCATCCCTGACGGACACCACTAGTCGTCACCAGTTCAGATGACAACTCGCCGTTAGCCCTCACATGGCTGTTTGAGTACGAGTAGAGTGCCTTAGTCAGTGAAATGTATTTTCTCGGAATTCCCTTTACAGCCAAGCATCGCCAGAGTACCTCTCGGTCGACAGAATCTTATGCCGCCTTTAGGTCAAGAAATATAATGATTGTTGGACGCCGGTAGGAATTTCTATGTTCTAGAATCCGTCGGAGGGTGAGTATATGATCGATACACCCTCTTCATGGTCTAAAGCCTGCCTGGCTCTCTCGTGTTTGTGCCTCCCGAGCACCACTTAGTCTACGCATGATTATTGAGCCTAGGACTTTAGATACTATATTAGTCAAGCTAATCCCTCTGTGATTATCACAGGAAGACTTGTCTCCCTTCTTGTATATGGGGATAATCAGTGACTTACACCAACCCGATGGGACTTCTTCTGATTCCCAGACGCTGACTAGAACCTCAGTTAATTCAGACAGTAAACTGTCTCCACCGTACTTAAATACCTCTGGAGTGATTCCACTAGGTCCCTCTGCTTTGCCTTGTTTCAGATTGGTGACAGCTTTAGTAACCTCAGTTAGGGATGGAGGACCTGTGTTTATATCCCATTCAGGGAGGTGTTGGATGTTCGGCAGGTTGAGCGTGGCTTTAGGCCAATTAAACTGCTCCTCATAATGCTCTTTCCAGCGATCCAGTCGTCTATCCTGGGAGCTAATTATAGTGCCATTTTTTTCCGAGATTGTTCCAGTGTTCCACTAGGAACCTAAGGGAACAGTATTAATTTGTGCCGACTGAGACGATGCTGCCTGACCAGATAAGTAAAGAAACTGACTTCTTTCAGATTCCTTCCGTTGATATTGATTTCTGCTTGTTGCTGCTGTTGGTTGACTGTCTTCATCACCTCCGTCTTCTCTGTGTTCACTTGATATTCTGCGTTTGCTGCCTACCCCCTCTGCTAGTTTGTTGGTTTTTACCTGTAGGTGTTTTCGAGTTTCTATGACATTAGACAAGTCATCCGTGATCTTCTCACCTATCCAGCGTATTCCTGCACACTTCTTACTCTGCACACGCTGTCTTCCAGTCCACCAAAATTAGGAATTTCATCATCGGTGATAATAGACAGCTTTGTCTTACTCCAGTATTCACTTCAAACGCCTCTCTGAGCTTCCCGTTGTGGATTAGTATCATTTGTATTAGCGTGGCAGTACTAATATTACTCCTGATAGCGTATCACTTCTAGTAGAATTAGTCGTACTGCAGTTGTATTATTACTAGTAATATCACTGTAGTAATAGAAGCGGTAGTGTAGGGAAGAAAAGACTGATGAGGCTCGAAGGCAGTCTCTATCAGGACAAGCTCATTGTAGGTACATCAATTTGGTATACCATATCTTCAATGCTTTATTTGCACATCTTTTGGAAATTGGCTGAATAGTAACATATTCGATAGCTTGTTGAAATCTACAGTGTTTCTAACGTTCTTTTCACAGTTCTGTTCTTCGATTGCTTTTT